GACAGACAGACAGCTAGATAGATAGATAGATAGATAGATAGATAGATAGATAGATAGATCCCATAAAAAACATATAGTGTCTATTCCTCTTATAAATGGTCCGATTCTTCAGTAGCATTTCTGCGCATGCGCAGCACTCAGACTGAAGCCAGAGAGAGAGAGAGAGAGAGAGAGAGAGAGAGAGAGAGAGGCTGAGGCATTGAGGAAAGGCCTTGTTTTCAGATCAAACCTCCTGAATTTGTGTGAGAACCACACAGGAATGTTTTCCTCTTGCGGCTGGTTGACACTCATGGCACACACACTTGCAGTGGAGGGTGGACACGGGACGTCCAGATTTACGGAGGTGCGCAGACTGGAGAGAGAGAGAGAGAGAGAGAGAGAGAGAGAGAGAGAGAGAGAGAGAGGATTCAAACTTCCGGTGGTGTGTCATGGCGGCCTGGTGGAGTATGCTTGAAGTGAAAAACTAAACCAAACCCCCCTCCTCCCTCCACCTCCTCCTCCGTTCTCCTCCTTGATTATTTTTGCGGAGAGGTTTAGGGGGTATTTTGTCGCATCCGGGGCGAATCGAGAGCAGGAATAGGGATCGCAAAAGTGATTGATAGGAGACATAGCGGCGCGCGCACCCGCCTGAGCATGGCGGCGCACAAGCCCGTGGAATGGGTCCAGGCCATCATTATTCGATTCGACGAACAGGTAAAGAAATCACTGCTGGGGGGATTTGACATTTCAAGGCCAAAAAAAGCGAGCATGCAAACGATGCATACGCGTTGTTTATGTTGAAGATGCGAGGTTGGTGGTTTTGGGCTTGCACTGGCTAAATACAAAACGTGCATGTCTTCATTCAGGCCTGATGTGTTGCATTTGGCAGCAAAAGCCAAATATTGGGCAGTGGGGTCGTGATTGATTTGATGAATGTTCAGCTGAGTCGCTCGCGCGCACTGGCTAAATATAAACAAAAGGAATCAGACTCCCTCCGTGCTTGTTGACATACAGAGAGATGAAATAGCATAGCTGAAGCAGCCTACAGTCCTGTGCATGCAACCCTGTTTAAAAGACTAATCATGTCAGTTTATCAATGTTCTATGTTTTTGAATGTTTTCTGAAACGGGTTTGATTGCAAAAACGCCTCTTCTGAGCCTGAAGAGGCAATGACAGCACAGGGTTTGTGACAGGCTCCTTATCATACGTAATTTTTCACGAATTTAACATGATTGTCTGTAGATTCTGTTTCTTAGAGCCTTAAAAGTGCACTCAGCATTTTTTTTTGCTAATCAAAAACGTGTCATCTAAAGAAATGAATAGCAGTTTTGAAGGATGTCATTATAATGATGCACACTATCATGGGGATATTAGTATTCTGACATTTTATTATACTATTGGGACGAATTAGAGACAGTTAAACGTAAACATACCAAGTGCACTTTTGATAAACATCAGTACTAATAAATAGCTGGGCAGTTAAGAGCTATCTTCTTTTTTTTTTACTGTTTTGATGTACATGCATCCCTTTGGCCCTGCTGTCACAGCCAAAGTGGTTGTTTTTTGTCCCTTCCCCTTTTAAAAAAAAGTGCTTAATTGTATTGAATATACATTTGTAGTGTACTTCAAATCTTAAATTTATATTTTCAAAAATTGTACCTGCATGTGATATAATATTAATGAAACAAAAGGCCTCTTAAGTGTGCTTAAAAAGAGTACATTGTCATGTTGTTCCTTAACACACTCACATACATTTAAAAATTTTGAAATAATGCAAAATTAAAGGTTTGACTTTAAAGTACAATTTAAATCATTCTGTTTGAATAATCTTTGGTTGTGGTAAGAAGAACTAGTTGATGTGTTGACTAAGATACTAAAACACTTGTATAGTACTGAATTTTAATTTGAACTCTGGTGTGTTTTTCAGTATTATATTTGCAATATCAATTTCATCATTGCAAATGTGTAATTATGAATATATTTAAATAACTGACATACAAGCTTCAATAGAAAAAAAACAAACAATACACTTAAATGCTTGCTTGCTTGTACATTCAGCAGTACACGTAAACCAGATATCAAAAACAATGGATCTGCTTGAAAGCACTTTTAAGTTTAACTAATTGCATTTAATATAAATTTAAAGTAATATTATTATATTACATTTTCATTTGACATGCAATTAAGTGCCCAAAAACATTACATTGAGTTTGCACTATATTCTTTTGTAGTATATTATTTCTGTAATAAGTACTGTTTTTAAAAGTATGCTAAAGTATACTCCCTTTTTTCCCCGACCCCACAAGGGTGTGCTTGTCAGTCTAAAGTTTAGAGGCTTTTCACAGGGTCCGGCTGGCGCTGCAGATTAGGGGCTCATAACAGTTTAATGAAAGTGTGAAAAGGAGTTTAGGCTAAGCCGGTTTAGTGCTTTTGAGATCAGAGAGCTTAAGGCACTTGTTTGGTGAAAGCATAATACGTTTTGAAGCTTCTTGCACATTTCTTGCTCTGTATGTTTTCATGACTTGAATGACTGCTCACCGCAATTGCAAGCAGATCATAAGTTGCAGAATTCCTGAATGGAAACTACCGGATAACACTAGGATCGATTGTTTAAGCTGATCGTCAGTGACGTGTGGCTTTTTCTTTCTTGCAATAGGCAAGTTATCCGTGGTGGTTATTGCCTTGTCAGCAGCTGTACGAATGCAAAGAGCACCTTGAAACAATGACCTCACAGATGCCATTGCATGGTCATGGAAAACTAATCTGTCCTCTCTCTGGGGAGAGGTCTGAGTCAGGAATGAGAGGTTGATGATACATTGTGTTCTACATAGATTTTGAAGAGTGTTTACATGTATGAAGATGACACTTGTTTGAATTAGGGATGCACCGAAATGAAAATTCTTGGCCGAAGTGGAAACCGAACAAAATGAAACACTGGGCCGAATACCGAACACGGTTTTTCAAGTTTTTTCCCCCATGTATTTTGCCAATTTTTTTCACCATTGCATAAATTAAATAGCCAAATGTTCTTTTTACTGTTTTGCCTTGCTTTTCAAAGAAAAAAATCAATTACAAAACAACAATTTAAAAATATTTAACACTGAACATTTGTAACAATCTAGCAGACACTATTCCAACAAAGCACAATTTAACTTAAAATTAATAAGTTGGTAAAATAATATTTATTAGGCCATCAGACTCCTTTCTTGAATCAGGCATGTATTTTTTAAATTTTTTACTGTACAATTAAAAGCTGCCTTGCTGAGAAGAGACTTCTTTTAAAATATTACAGATCCTAATTTGAACACTGTGTGAATGTAATAATAAATGTGTTAACCGAGATAATAAATGATTATTATCATTATTATTGTCTTACTTTTTATTTTATTTTACAGAACAACAGTAAAATTACAATACTAACATTTATGAATGTTGATGGAGTTCTTGCTTTTTCTCAACTTGATTTATAAATGAGTCTCATTACGAATACGTTGTACATATCGCATTGTCACATGCCTTGTAAAAAATCATAAAAATGTGACTGAGCAACTGACGAGCGCAGATATTCCTCGCGCTTTGGACTTTGAACCCTGGTAAAGCAGATAGCAAGCAGATAGCGCCGCGAGTTTGTGCAGTGCCGTCAGAATACATGCAATTCGAGCGTGAAAACATAACGTTCTGCAGTGTATTTAATTGTTTAAGGCCATTTCACGATTTCAATCATCATACCTCTTCTCATCGAACTTGCTTTTTCGACAGCAGATTTATAAATGAGTCTCATTACGAATACGTTGTACATATCGCATTGTCACATGCCTTGTAAAAAATCATAAAAATGTGACTGAGCAACTGACGAGCGCAGATATTCCTCGCGCTTTGGACTTTGAACCCTGGTAAAGCAGATAGCAAGCAGATAGCGCCGCGAGTTTGTGCAGTGCCGTCAGAATACATGCAATTCGAGCGTGAAAACATAACGTTCTGCAGTGTATTTAATTGTTTAAGGCCATTTCACGATTTCAATCATCATACCTCTTCTCATCGAAGACACATTATTTTGTGTATTTGGTGTAACAGAATATGTTGACATGCTTTAATGTTCAAATAAGTATTTTTCAAATACTGTACATTATTGTAGGTCCCCTATGCCCCGCCTCTCTCAAACGCTTCGATTTCTACAAAGTCCCTCCTTCCGACAAGCACAGTCTGCTCTGATTGGCCAGCTGACCCAGTGCATTGTGATTGGCCGAACACCGCAAGCACTCGTCGGAAATGTAATGCCCCTTACCATAATCGCGAGCGTCATCTTTCAAAATAAATGTAAAGACAGTAAATAATGTCATTAGTTTTACCATCAGTTCAAGCCCGAAAGGGGAACAGACGCAGTAATGGTGCAGTACACAAGCCGCGGTTAAGACAGCTGACTCTGTCGTGATGTGACCCTCTCTCTCTCTCTCTCTCTCTTTTGCTTTCGCCTAGAAACACACAGCGTCTCCCTGACATGGCTGCTTCAACACTAACTGCGGTTACTGAAACCACGCCGCCTTTCTTTGCGTGAAAATTTGGGCCGCATTATGCAAATATTTCCACATAGTGAGGTAGATATGTGGGGGCGTGTTAGAACGAGCCGTTTTAGGGGGGCGTGGCAGAGTCTTAACTTTGATAAAGAATATCTCTTTGGTTTTGAGACTTTAGTCTTTGCAACTTCAGGGATCTTATCTATGCACAATCAGCTTGTAACACTCCAAAGAGAAAGGAAAACTTGAAATTGCATGCGCAACCATATGACCCCTTTAAAAGTTGATAAATCAATTTAGATAAATTTAAGGCCCTTTATAAGAATTAAAAAGTCTTAAATGCCATTTTCCAAGGTATTAAATTTTACATCATATTTTCATTATGTATATTTGTCTGAATAGTGGGGTTTTGTGTAGTTTATTTATGGAATCCCGCAAGATTTGACGTCATCCGTTACGGCACTCACTGACTGACTGCACCACTGCGTGATAGCGCGGGGCTTGTTGATCCCGCTCTCGCTGAATTTCTGACCATATTGTATATAATTTTTGCGTATCAGGGCACCGCTATCAATATGTGAATGAGCAGTCGCAGTTCACTTTCAATTTCGCGATCGCGTGCACACTGTGTAAAGGGAGCACATATTACGATACAAGATATTTGTCAGTGAGCTCGGGATCTGTTGAGGAGCAAATCCTCCAACATCTTTGTCAGTTATCTCTCCTTACTTTTGACCCGTGATCAGTCAAATCTGACTTCTGCAGCTTGAGTTGGATGCAGGGTTGTTGTTGTTTTTTTCCACGACGTTGGGCTGCTTTTAAACTGTTGCCATGTTTTGATTTTCCCCAGTAAGTTAAAGGTTTGAAATATTGCTTAAATTACATTTGGTTGAAATGCTTGTACTGAAACGTTTTGCATTCCACCTGTAATAAAACTGTGCTAAATGTTTTGGGCCACACTAGTAGCAAGCATTTGAGCTGTGTTTATGATAAATGTGCATAACATTGGCTGTAAAATATGTATTTTAGGGATGGAAATGACATTTTTATATTTGGGACATAATTGCGCTACTTTGGGCTGATTTTTTTACTAGCATGGGCTTGGGATGCACAATTAAAATTAGTAGGGATGCACGATATATCGGCCACCATATCGGTATCGGCCCATATCGGCTCATTTTTTCTGTTATCGGTATCGGCCTGATAAGAAAATTTGGCCGATATCTTAAAGCCGATAAAAAATATGTATTTTAGGGATGGAAATTGCATTTTTATATTTGGGACATGGTAATTGCGCTACTTTGGGCTGTTTTTTTTTACTGGCATGGGCTTGGGATGCACAATTAAAATTATGTAATAGTTGTGATCATTATTTTACCTTCCATGATAATTCAGACACGATCAGGTGCAGTACTGACGCTCTGTCAAGTCTGCATCAAATCAAGCACTCCGTAATCACAGGTAAACTGTCTGATCACTCAGATGTTTGTCATGATATGAAGCTATGGTTTGCAGACATAAGAGTTGATGTGACAAATACATCTTTTGAATATACTGTGCGAACTCATTGCCCCGTTAGCTCGGAGAGCTTTATTTTCCCTCCTCAATAAGTTTTGTCAGTTGTTTTGTTTATTGGTCTAATTCTTGTTTCTTGGGTTGCATTGGTTAGTCACTCAATTAATTCTCTTGTGCTTCGTTCCCCCCCTTCTGAATTATGTTGCATTGATAAGGCGTTCGAAGTAAGTATCTGTATCTTAAAAACAGTATATAGTAAATGTAAGTTAAAGTGTCGCAGATGTAACCGGTTAAAACTTGTAGTGGCGATGAGGTCTTAAAATGTTTGGAAAGAGTCTTAAAGTTTCAAATGCTTCCACACTGCTGACATGTTTGTTGCATTATAATGAGTGCATGCCTCTCACTCTGCGCTGGCTGCTATTTGATCGCGTCACGTCATTGTTCGGTACAATTTATTCGGTCTTTTCGCTTATTTGGCTGAACACCGAAAGAGCTTTTTTTGCTATTTTCGGCCGAATAATTTCGGTTGCCGAACATTCGGTGCATCCCTAGTTTGAATAGATTTTTTTCTTTTGGATGATGTACGAACGTAAGGGAACTTTATTGGTGGTGTTAGGTAGTTTCTGATCGGTTATTTTTGTTGTAAGAAGCTTAAAGGCATAGCAAAAAAATTTACTTATCTTCATATCGTCCCAAACCTGTATGACTTTAATGAAAGTCACTGGGGCTCAACGTTGTTTGGATTCCAACATACTTTTGTGTTCTACAGAAGAAAGAAAGTCATACAGGTTAGAATGACATGAGGCTGATAAATGATGAGAATACTTTCATATTTAGGGGAACTATCCTTTTAACATTAGATTTGGTCAAATTGTAGCAATATCCAGGAAAAAGGCTAAATTATATATTTTTTTCCTGCCGTTTTGGAAGGACCCTTCCAACTGATGTGACAGGGGTGGAAAGTCATATTTTTCTTGAATGGTGGCCCATAAAAGTTTAACCTAACTGTAATTTTAAAGTTGATTTACATTAAATATTTTTTATTGTCTGTGGTTTCTGTCAATATACCATCCATTCTTCATAGCACACATGAGTATGGCAGGTTCTGCCAAAGTGCACATAAGGGAAGCGATTGGTCCCTGACCTTTCTGGAATTTTAAACCATTCCTGGGAAACAAAGTGCTCACTGTCCATCGGGATCCTGCATTAAAATGGATGTCAACAGGGCTGGGCTATGTGTTCTGTGAGAGTGCATGTGTTTTATGAGTGTATAGACAGTGTGTGCGCCGGTTCTTCTCCGGTCTTGAGACTTTCATTTCCAGCCACGCGCTTTTCTCTTAGGGCCACACAGTAGTTGGCCGGAAAGAAGGAGGGAACCTCAGGGTTTCTCAGAGTCTTTCTGACATGCCGACGCACTGGCCATTGCTATTGTCAGGACACTTCAACCGGTAGTTCCTCGCAGCACAAATATAGGCCTACATGGCTTAAGCAGATTATGAGCTAAGATTTGTTGAAATATCAGATTTAATAACGGTTTAATCTTTCTTGGGCCAATTTGACACATTTCTGAGTGATGATATTTGTATGTTTTAAGGAAACAGACCATTACTGACTAGTCTGCTAAACTGTCCAGTTGTTAAGTTGACACCATTGATGGTCTGTTCTTGGGCTTTGCATGATTGTATTCAATATAATCACTGTGTATTTTGCAGTGGTTTTGTTTGTGTTTTAAAATGTAAGCAACATTGTGAATATATTGATTATTCTTGTAATTATCAAAATAGTGTCTCAGATCGTTTAATTTTTCAATTTTTCCATTTAAAATTAATCTTTTCAAACATTACATTTTAATGAATTGATTTAATTTGCTTCCTCACTTAGTCTCTGGACTTAGTCTCTTCAAATGTTTTTTTTTTTATGTTTTCGAAAAAAGTCTCATATGCTCACCAAGGCTGCATTTATTTAATTAAAAAATACAGTCAAAATATAATATTGTAAAATAGACCAAACATAAAAGGAGTAATTTATCCTCCCAAAAAAACAAAAAACAAGATTAAGCTACTCACTTTCATGTTGATACTTCTTTGATACTTAATACTTCTGCAATAATTTATATACAGTAAAATATTAAATATAGATTTGTATAAATTTATAATATCCAGTTTGCATTTTATTGTGTATTTTACTTTATTTATTCCTGTGATGGCAAAGCTGAATGAAAGTCTTCAGTGTCACGTGATCCATAAGAAATCATTCTAATATCCTGATTTCTTATTATCAGTGTTGAAAACAATTTAAATCTGATCACTTTTGTTCAGTTGTATGCATCCATGCTTAAGAAAAGTATTAAATAATATTTTTTTTACTGACCTTAAACTTTTGAAGGGTATTATTTACAGTCAGATGCTATTTAGAGAATGAATTTCAAACTTTTGTTGGCTTTTTTTTCTTCTTTTCACTTAATTAAATAGAAAGTACAGGAAAGATTGAAAATGATGGTGAGAAGTGTGGAGGACAGAACTGGGATATGTTACAACTTTGTCTGATTTAAACTTTTTTTTGGCAAATAAGCACTACAGCTTAATATATTAGAGCAGTTTGTTGGCATTCACGAGTTGTTCGCAAGCTGTATAACTTCTTGAAGTCAAAGTTCTTTTGATCCAGAGAGGAGCCATAGTAGTTGGAAACAGTGAAGACCAATTCCTCATCAGGGAACGCTTAGAGGGGGGAGAGGCCTCCACCCCCGCACTCCACATACGCTTCATTAAGACGGCCAGGCCATGTGTGCTTTCAACACTCCCACTGCACAGACTTTAACTGCTTGTGTGTGTTGGAGAGAATAAGAGCAGATGTGCTGGCCCGCAGGTGTGCAGCACAGGGCAGAAGTCTGGAGAGCTGGAGTTGCTTTGTTTTAACACTTAAAGTTTGAGCGTTTAGACCCAGGATGGATGGGTTGGTGCATTAAGTACTTGGATGTTCTCTCAGGGGTGGGTGTGTCAAATTTAAGACCGTTCGACCTCTCGCTCTGCAGTCTGTGCGTCCCACATGTTACAAGCTGTTCTCCACCCAATGCTCTGAATAAAGCCATAACACAGGCTTTGAAAGCTGGGCCACAGGAACCCAACGTTCACACCTGTTAACCAGACCCAAGAGTTCTCCATCTTAACTTCCTTTGATACAACTGTAAATATAATGGTTAGTTTTGTGCTTTGGGTTATTTCTTAATGACTATAGTTTATAGTGTACTATAGTTTTTAAATTGATCCGATTATAATTTACTTGAAATTAATTGAAAGTATATTTGAAAACAAATCAGCTGTTGGTCAAATAAAAAAAAAATAGACTACCATTCAAAAGTTTGAGGTCAGTAAGATATCTTTTTTAGTGAAATTAAATGGTGGTTTCAGTTGCTCTCTTTTTCTCTCTATCCCTCTTTCTCTGTCTGTCTCTCACTCACAGCTCCCAATTAAAACAGGACAGCAGAATACCCACACCAAAGTGAGCACAGAGCACAATAAAGAATGTTTGATCAACATCTCCAAGTACAAATTTGCCCTCGTCATCAACGGTCTGACCAACATACTCAAAAATGTGAACAACATGGTAAGTCCATGTCTATAACATTCAAGTTTCCCATCTTGATAATTGAATTTTGAAATTCCAGTCACTCTGTTATGAGAGAACTGCCTTGGCATTGCACAAATAAATCCAAGATGGCAGATAAAAATGAACCATTTTAACAAATATATGCCGGTGTAGTGTTTTTATGCTTAGTGTTACACTGTTAGCTTAGGAACATGGTCATTTCAAACTCTATTGCAATCAATTGAGACAAGTGTCTTCTAGTCTTGCTAATGTCACATTTCTGTGTGTCTTTTGTTCATAGCGGATCTTTGGCGAAGCCGCCGAGAAGAACCTCTACCTCTCCCAGCTGATTATCCTGGACACACTGGAGAAGTGTTTGGCAGGGGTGAGCAGCTCGTCCTATCTCACAGTGAACTTTATCCGACCTGTCGCTTGTTTTGACTGTCTTACGTCCTGCCATTGCTGTGGTTTCACCTTTGTTGCTGAACGCAATGCAAAATTGCTTTACAATTGTTTCATAATTGCCTATCCACATCTTGACCTAAAAGTTTTCATAAATTTTATTATAAATTTTGATAGATAATGAAAGTAATTTTTATGGGTTTTTTTTTTTCTGATCTGATCTTGTCCCTTTGGCGAAGCCGCCGAGAAGAACCTCTACCTCTCCCAGCTGATTATCCTGGACACACTGGAGAAGTGTTTGGCAGGGGTGAGCAGCTCGTCCTATCTCACAGTGAACTTTATCCGACCTGTCGCTTGTTTTGACTGTCTTACGTCCTGCCATTGCTGTGGTTTCACCTTTGTTGCTGAACGCAATGCAAAATTGCTTTACAATTGTTTCATAATTGCCTATCCACATCTTGACCTAAAAGTTTTCATAAATTTTATTATAAATTTTGATAGATAATGAAAGTAATTTTTATGGGGGGTTTTTTTCTGATCTGATCTTGTCCACTATTAGTCTGTTTCTTTTACTATGCGAGGCTGTAGAAATAAACTGAATGTAGTGAACTTTTTAACTATGCCCTGGTATAATCGAAACTGTAAACTGCCATTCAAAGGTTTGGGATCAGTAAAAATTCAAAAGTCACATTAAAGGGTTACTCCACCCCAAAATGGAAATTTTGTCATTAATCACTTACCCCCATGTCGTTCCAAACCCGTAAAATCTTCGTTCGTCTTTGGAACACAATTTAAGATATTTTGGATGAAAACCGGGAGGCTTGTGACTGTCCCATTGACTTGTCAAGTAAGTAAAGGGTTACTCCACCCCAAAATGGAAATTTTGTCATTAATCACTTACCCCCATGTCGTTCCAAACCCGTAAAATCTTCGTTCGTCTTTGGAACACAATTTAAGATATTTTGGATGAAAACCGGGAGGCTTGTGACTGTCCCATTGACTGTCAAGTAAGTAACACTGTCAAGGCCCAGAAAAGTATGGAAGACATCGTCAAAATAGTCCATCTGCCATCAGTGGTTCAATCTGAATTTCATGAAGCGACAAGAATACTTTTTGTACGCAAAGAAAACAAAAATAACGACTTTATTCAACAATTTGTCTCCTCCGCGTCACCGTAGCGCCATTTAGGAGAGTATCCACTGAACGTAAACTGCGTATGCTGTTCTGTGTCAGCCGCACCACACGGATAAGCTGTATTCGTTCAAATCAGTGTAAATGAACGTAGAAAGCGTATCCGTGTGGTGCGGCTGACACCGACAAGTAGAACAGTATAAGCAGTTTACGTTCAGTGGATACTCTCCAGAATGGCGCTATGGTGACGCGGAGGAGACGAATTGTTGAATAAAGTTGTTATT